CTCCCTTTTTTTCAAGATGGCGGGAGTGATAACCTCGTAAGCTGTTTTACTACTCTACTGCGCAACATTTGGATGCAAGAGCACATTCCCTCATCTTGGGGCGACTCACTGATTGTTTCCACTTTACAAGAAAGGATCCCGCAACGATTACGAAAATCATCGCGGGATAAGTTTGGTCCCGGTCATCACCAATGTGCTAGCTACAGTGATACTTCGACGTCTGACGCCTTTAAGAAAGACCAACGTCATCATCATCATCGTACAGCGACATACAGTGAGGTGGACTTCATTGATCGCTGCCAAACTCGCAATGCATACAAGGTTAGTGGTAAAATTTAAGGTGGACAGGGATTGGATCTATTTTGAGGGAGGGAGAAGAAGGTGAGCCACTATGATCAACACTCAGAGTACGCAATCGAACTCTGCATACATACTGTTTCAAGCATTCTGGCCTGATAAAAAATGACAATAAGAAAGCCACTGCGGTCGGTTCGCTGCCGTATCTTTCAATGTCTACAACCAACCAGTTGTGGAGTCTTCCGGACCCCAACCTGGAAGGCGAGAGACACCTACTCTACCTAATGGCTCTGTGCATTTCTTCATGCCTCGTCTCCACGTCATCTGTTGACCTCCACGTGGTTTCCTCCAGCCCGGATTAGCAACAGCGAATAAAGCGCGATGCGACAGACGATGGCTGGGCATACGCAATACGTGCCCTAGCCAGCGAAGCCTAGCAATCTGAATTCGGTATGCTAACAGGTTTATACCTGTTAGACTACCAAACACACGACGACTTACCTTCAGATTATTAACCCGTTCACTCCATCCAACATGGGCTAAACTACGTAAACACCAATAATCGAAGGTTTCTAGTCGACGGATATCTTCTACTCACAAATTCAGGGTCTCACAACCATAAAGCAGGGCTGAACGAACGCTAGCACAATATACACGACCTTTTAACTTAAGTGAAACGTCGCATCTACACCAAAGGTGTTTCAGTTCTGCGTATGCTGTTCAAGACTTGAAAATGCGGGTGGTTATCTCCTTTGCTGCACTTTGGTCACGCAACTACCTAAGTAGGAAAAGTAATCCACCACAACTAAATCCTGGCCATTTAGTGTCAGAGTGGGAGTAGACGAAACCCAGTCCTGCAGCAGCACTTGGCACTTTGAAGGTGCAAAGCACATACCGAATGTGGACACTGCTCTTGTTAATCTATCAAGTGCACTTTACGCGCCCTCCATACATTCAAACAGACAGACGATAACATCGGCGT